TGCATGGTGTGAGTGAGTCAGTGCATGATGTGTGAGTGAGTCAGTGCATGGTGTGTGAGTCAGTGCGTGATGTGTGAGTGAGTCAGTGCATGGTGTTAGTGAGTCAGTGCATGATGTGAGTGAGTCAGTGCATGATGTGTGAGTGAGTCAGTGCATGATGTGTGAGTGAGTCAGTGTATGATGTGTGAGTGAGTCAGTGCATGATGTGTGAGTCAGTAGTAGCTTGAGTAAGTGTATGATGTGTGAGTCAGCGCACGATGTGTTAGTCAGCGCATGATGAGTGAGTCGGTGTATGATGTGAAATAGCCGATTAAACAAAGCTTGCCATGCATTATACACCTCAGACATATTCTGTATGGATTTTTTTTATACGTTTTAGCGAAAGCAATTTAAAATTTTCCTCCTTTGAAATATTAGACAAAGAAGGAACCCACACGAAGGCGAACACATACTGGAAATTACTTTCTAAAAGCAATTACAGAAATCTCTTTGTTTAAAACGCTATGACTTAGCATGTGATTAAATGCATTTTTTTTTGTTCGAGAGACGAACTGTGGGATGCCAATGCTGTAGTCGGGCAATGGTGTGGACGAGGCACTCACCTACTTGCCTGCAAGTGGCAGTGCCGTCCTGCACGCAGCAAGTTTCTGCTCTCTCTGTGCGGGAGTTCAACAATTGCCCTCGCCTATTTTGTGGCACCTATTCAGGAAATATTTAGAGGGTGTATTCCAGATGTCTTGTGACCCCCCCCCCCTATTTAATTCTAGAATCTTTTTATATTTTTTTAAAGTAAGGTTTATTTAAAACAAAAATAAATATGGAAAGGAAACAAAATGTTTGGGGTTAATTAATTGTGGGTCACAAGACATCTGGACGAATCAGTACATTGGCATGTTTACCAAGACAAATATCCCTCCCTATCGCCTTTATTGGCTGTTGGGACAAGTGCTGTTAGCGAGTAGCACCCATGAAGGTCAACAGCGCGCACAAACGATGTTTTATTTTACCAGGTAAGGTCCACTAAGCAATATCGGGGGTTTTTTTTTCAGGAGCGACCCGGTCACAAATGATATCCCAATGAAGTGGCTTATCGCGTGGAAATATACAGCTGCCAAATACCCTAAACGCATGTTTCTAAAGGAGGCCCACACAAGTCGGTGGGTGGGCCAGCACCGTGCCCGGTCGCCTTTGTCTCCCCAGTGCTGATGGTTACACACAGCACCAGGTAGCCATTTATGTAGCGAAGCGTGCGCGCCACTGCACAACTGGTTTTTTTTTTTACACAGCACACAGATAACATACTTTTAAAAGCATTTGCCGGATTTTCAGGGCAGATAAGTGAATCCAATTATATTGTGATTGATAATTGGATATCTAAACGATGTCTCGCCCTAAGTATGTTTATTCATATAATAGATCAATATCTGCCTTCGGGCTTTCCAGGCTCATATTATTCATGGACTGTTCTTACCCACAATACACCACAGCTGCGTATCCTGTCATGAGTTGTCAGTGAAAATGCTGCTGGCCAGAAAAAAACGACACCTGTTTTCAAAATTTTCTTGCTGTGGTTTTCACACCTGATGATGATTGCTTGTGTTGCAGTCGAAACGTCGTGATAATTTAATTGGTTTATTTTTATTATTTTATTATTTCCCTTCTACGTGACTTTACCGAAAGAACCAATAATATGAATCCCTGCAGTCACGAAAGCTTTAAATCGAAATTCAGTCAATCAATGGTTGTTTGTTACACGAAAAGTTTCGTGTAGCCATTTACCCCGCTAGCTTGCAAGGGATATCCGAGGTGCATCAGCACTGAACAATAATGACAACGTTAAAGTGCACAATAAATAAACTGTAACAATTAAACTGCTTACGTTTAAACAAAAAAATCAATACAGATTTATGTCCAGTAGCTCTACTGTGTTCACAAGTTTACCGTGACGCTTTTTTTACATAAACTAGTTTGGGTACTTGTTTTATATTAAAATGCATCAGGATATAAAATGTTACCATTACATGGACGTTGTAGGATTCCTTTCACCAAGCAAAGACTCTTGAAAGAAAAGTGTAAAATCTCTGAACTTGTCCACACTGATTAAACATCACTTGACTGGAATGCAGACAACGCGGGTTAAATGTGTGCGCATTTACGACCCCCTGTTGCTGCGTTCTCACGAACAATGAACACGGGGCCAGACCAGTTCATGATCGGGGGGCCACCGGTGACCTCACCAGTGGTGTTAGTGAGCTCAATTAAAGAGGTAACCGTTACAAACGTTACACGACCAACTGCGTAGAGTCAAGGCAAAGGGATCTCCCGACGCAAACGTTTAGTGGGAAGGCGCACATATCGGTCGGTGGCCCTGGGGCCACATTCCCGTGGTGGGAGCAAAAGGTGTGCCGCCTACAATTGAGCAATGCGGTGTTTATGGGGTAGTTTTTTTTTACGCACGTCCGTGGAATACCCATTTGCTCAGAGTTAGCATTTCAAGTGAACGTGTTTTTTTCTTTCTCCCACACAAGTGCCCAAAAGCTAGTGGACACTTAAATCACTGCTCGACTCCGTGAAGAAGTGTGGCGTTTGTTTCAGGTGGAATGGGACCGCGAGGCCAAGAGGGTGACGAGATGTTAACTACCTCTCCTGGTATACAGGAGGTCGTGGGTTCGATCCCGACCCTGATGCATGCTGCTGTATATTTGGAATTTGCGTGCCTCTCTCTCCCCATAATCGCGTGGAATCCTCTTCTGCTCCTCCAGGTTTTCCCTCCACATTTAGAATTGACATGCTTTTCGTGTATTTGGCTGCTAAACATTTCCACTTGGTGATAGGCCACTTCGCGTGAGCTATTATTTGTGATAGCCAGGTCGCTTCTGAAAAATAGCTATTTAGCTCCAGTTGGGGAGGGGGGGGCGCTTACCTGGTCAAACAAATAAAATCGTTGTTTAGTTTGCTTTGTCGTGTTGAGGTGTGGTGTTAGGGTGGTTGTCATGCGAGTATCCAGATGAGGTCACGGATGAAGCAGGGCAGCAAGAGAGGGCGAGGCGGAGAGTGGCGGCGAGGGCAGTGGAGGAGTGCCCGTGCTTCTGGTTCCCCAGGGAGACGGCGGACGCAGTCCTGGAAGCAACGGACCGGGGCTGGGAGAAGAGGGCCCTCTTCGTACGCGAGCCGTGCCGCTAAATCCCCGGCGCGGCCCTACCCAGTGCCGGAGTATCCGAGTAGCAAAAGTAGCTACTTCATATGTAGTAGCTACTACTACATATGTAGTAGCTACTACATATATGTAGTAGCTACTACATATGTAGTAGTAACTACGGGCCCCTGCACTTTCAAGGGCCCCCGCGCTAAATGCTTTCAAAGCTATCAATTCCGATTTAAAACTTTCGTGACTGCAGGGATTCATATTCTTGGTTCTTTCGGTAAAGTCACCACGTAGAAGGGAAGCAATAAAATAATAGAAATATAAAACAATAAAATTCTCACGACGTTTCGACTGCAACACAAGCAATCATCATCAGGTGTGAAAACCACAGCAAGAAAATTTGAAAAAAGTGGCGGTTTTTTAACGTTGTCAATTCCGGTTCAGTGATTCTGCACTTGCTCGATTACTATAGTACTACACAGCCTTCAACCTTTATGAAGGACTGGGTGTTTAAGGTTAGCGATTTGTCGTATTATCCGGCCGTATAGCAAATGAAAAAATACAATTACTTTACTATGTAAGTAAAAAAATGTGTGTTTTAATATATATGTGTGTTTTATTTATTTATGGCCCCTTTATAACATATGCTACAGGCCCCGCACTAGCTTTATCCGGCACTGGGCCCTACGGTAGATCTGCCCTGCACCCGGCGCGAAATCATAACCGCCAAAGAATGTCGTGATCCCCACACAAACCAAAAAATTTGACAGCATTACCAGATTAATCGTCGTGAATGAACAACGCAATAAAAATTTACGGAGCTCAGAGGAGCCTAAAGACTCTGCGGAATGGTTGATTGTGCGCTAATGCAACTTTGGGAATGTTTAATTGAATTTATTGTTGAGGAATAAAAAAAAGTATTGTTAATCACGTTAAGTAAATTGTCTTGAGGTCCTTTATTTTTGTACTTTGTTGCACGGTAAACATTGTTATTTGTGTTTTGCTGCCGTGATATTGGGTTTGGTATCTGCCCCGAGGTTTCGTGCGATCTTTCCATACAAAGAGAATGGTCTCTGATTCTCAACAAAGGTAACTTTTGCAACTAATCATATTCTTGAATCACTGTACAATACATTTTTTTTAAATGAAACTTGTACGTTAGTATATTGAGCTTCTTTCGCGCCGTACGTAGCCAACCGTGCTAATAAGGAGGTGCCTTCCAAACTAACATCTATAAACTTTGGCATCACCTAGATTAACATTTCATGCCATTCTGACCAGAATGGTGATCCTGACCCAGAGAGCGGTGTTGGTTTTATGAGCAGGTGCCTGGCCCATGAACCTGTTATTTCAGGCAATGTTCACAGCCATATTGACCAATGAAACCTCATTCATTCTCTCGACAAAAGACTTTTATTGTATGACAGTGACATTAAAACAAGGCTTATAGGACCTTTTCCTGCTGTGCAGTCCTTTCTTTCCTCCCAAATATGTTTGAACAACAAAAGTTTAGGAGCAATTCCCAGCAAATGGATTTTACCCCCCCCCCTCCTAAAAAAAAGGGAGATAAGAGATTTTAATTGCACCGCATTCCAGGGGCATGAGTAAGGCATACTCCGGTGGTCCTTTGTTAACTAAGTAGGCTCGCTTTGTTTGCATGGCTCCATATGTAGAAGGATTTGAGGTGGAGTGGTTGGGGGTGGGGAGGGAGAGGATGGTTGAGGTGAGGGGTGATGGTTGAGGATGGATGGATGGGGGGGATGAAAGGGGTGGGAGGGTGGGTGGCTTGGGTTTTCCACGCAGTTTTTCCTGAAGCTCTCCGACTCTGGAGATTTAGCTTCAGTGGGGGGGGGGGGCGGTGGGACCCTGCAGCATTTGGGCGACGAGGCTTCTTGTCGCCCCTACTGTGTGCTTGGCCAATGGGCGCGTCGAGGGGGAACTTAGGGCCGCGTGGAGGGTTGTGTGGAGACGTCTGCGTGAAGTCATAAATCCCCCTCCCACCCGCAACAACAGCCCACTGCCAAACCCCAAGTCAGAACGTTGTCCGGGGCACCTTCAAGGGCTCGTGAAAGGTGGTCTCCTGAGAGGTGCGTCCAAGACACCGTGAAGCTTGCCAGAGTCTGTACACGGGGACAGGTTCGTGCGTGATGCTCCGTGTGACGTGTTCGCCGCGCCGCCACTTTGACCGTAAAGCAAATGATTGCCTTGTTCGGGGTTAAACATAATTAACCGCTCACTTGGCACTTGCCACATTGTGCCGAGCCGTTCAGTAACCCCCCTCCCTTTGACGCCGTTATTTAATAAGCACACAGCAATGACCGTCATTCGGAACGTAAGACGTTCTTGTTAAGTTCGTGTGTCTGTGTACGTGTACGTATATATATGTATATATATACACAACACGTGTTATTAATGCAAATGGGTGACCATAAAAAGTGACGTGAACGATTGCATCAGTCGGTGTTGGTATGCAAAGGTGCCGTGAGGACAGCGCAATTCAGAAATGTCGTCAAATCTGGAGCGCCAGAAGGGAAGAGCATTTGTAGAGGGCACCGAACATTCTAACGTCCGCGGGTTGTTGATCCGCGTGATTGTGTTCACGTCTTTAATCAATCGGACAATTGATTCGTTGGTTGAATTACGCACCTTAGCAATGCGTACGTATACTTCGTATAATGTTGCATGCGTTACGTTATTATTCGGAATTGTGCAAAAGTTGCCGTCAGGGTTACACTTTGCGTCGAGATTTGCTCTTGCAATATTCCACAGTGAGTTGATGTATTTTGTCGAGGGGTTTTACTCTTCTATAGCGACGTTCGGACAGGTGAGGTGATTATAGTTGGTGAGGTGGCTATGGATCTTATTTACAATCATGGTTAGTTATATCATCATACTAACAGCACAGGTTTCAGCAGGGGTGTTGGGGGTATGGAATCACATATTTGTGGATTTGAGAATGATGCATCATAGAGAAATTGTCATACGAGAAAGTTAATGCAACAAAATCCTGATAAAAAAAATTGATATGCGTGACGTTTTTAAATACCTTATAAAGTTTCTATTTGAATTTCGATTTAAAGCTTTCGTGACTGCAGGGATTCATATTCTTGGTTCTTTCGGTAAAGTCACGTAGAAGGGAAATAATAAAATAATACAAATAGACAATCAAATTCTCACGACGTTTCGATTGCAACACAAGCAATCATCATCAGGTGCGAAAACCACAGCAAGAAAATTTGAAAAAGTGGCGTTTTTTTCATATTAAGGTTTGCTGTCCGTGATTTTGGGTGCTAAAAAAAAAGGTGGGTTTTAGGAATTTGTGAAAAATCATCATCATAAGGTGTTCTTGATGATGCGCATATTGTGTGTGGCGCACAGACTTTTAATTGGCAATGCCTGTTTAAAAAGCTTCCGGTCAGCATAGAATGTATCATTCGCTAACAAGTCAGCTCACACATTGTGGCTGTTTGCTCTATTCTTACGGCCCAATGATAATTTAAAAGAAGAATGACTGATATATGCTGATTGCTGCATTACAAGGTGAACAAAAGTAAAGATACAGCCCTGCCATTTCTTTCTTGCGCCACTACTGGCAGAAGGGTTTCCACAAAGAAGGAGCGTAAGAGCTCTTATAGAGGGCATTTGGCCTACTCTTCTAAGCTGACCAGACCGCTTGGAAGAGGTGGGAGTGCCCACACTTTACCCCACCACACACGGCCCTCTGATCCACTAACTGTGGTGTTCCCATACGTACTGTTGGGCACCACGGTGGCGAGATGTTAACTAACTCGCCTGGTATACAGGAGGTCGTGGGTTCGATCCCGATCCTGACGCCTGCTGTATAATTTGGAGTTTGTATGTTCTCCCCGTGATCGCGTGGATTATTCTCCGGGTACTTCAGCTTTGCCCTCCGCATTTAGAAGCATGATTTTAGAGTATTTGGCTGCTATAAATTTTGCACGTGATAAGCCACTTCGTTGAGCTATCATCTGTGGCCTGGTCGCTTCTGAAAAAGAGCTATATAGCTCAGTGGGCCTTACTTGGTAAAATAAAACATTTCTAGATAAAAAAAATAAAACATATATTTTTTTATTGATTGAACAGAGGTGGTAGATACAGGTGATTATTGAATGGTCACACATCATATCAAAGCAAGCGCTGTGGTTGTCACTCATTTTCATCCGTGGCCCTGAGCCACTCGTTGCCAATGCCCCATTTAACAGCAGAAAGAAAACGGGGATTTCTGTTTGTCCCAGGAAGACGTACAGTTTTCCCAAAGACAGCCACCTCAAAAAGATGATCCTCGGGGAAAAAAACAGAACAGGTGACAACCCTTAGTTGTGGTCCAAATTCCAAATGATAAAAGTACTCACTACTATGGCTTTCAAGGATTTGGTTAAGAGTATTGTGTTTTGTAAAACTCACCACGTGGGGTATTATGGGTTTATCCCATATAATACCCTGCGCTCAATGGTTTCAAAGTCTAAATGATGTATTATTGTAGAATTTGACCTTGGCTGCACAGTGTCTTTTGTCTACTCAGTATAATACTCTTAATAAAAGTAAAAAGCTTAAATGAGGATCGATTGCGGGCTATTTCCACTGGTGGCCCTACGCCATTGGCAGGTTATGAAAAATTGTAAATGCCAGCTGCCGGTCTCTCCGTATGACAACCGTTGCTGACTTCCCACCGAGTGGCACTCAACGGGCAGCGTGCGTTTGGCCAGTCCGCGAGGCAGGAGGGGCCAGAACCAGAGCCGTCTCTGGGCCCCGTGCTTTGGGGTGTCCCCGCGTTTCGACAGGCGTCAAAGGGGCCCACGCGATGGGATTTGCCCCTGGCCCCTGGCCCCTTCCCCCACCGCCTCTATGGACTGCCCTGAGCATAGTTATAGCATGGTTGTGATCTAAACGCACCGTTTGAAGTCTGCTGCCGTGACAAGTGAACTGTGCTGGGCTGTAATGAGGTGCCTGTGATAAGCATCTACAATTCCCAGCAGCAGCTCGGCACTGGCAACAAATGCGTCCAGTGAATGTTCAAGCCTGGGGATACACTGGCTTAACTAATAACCCCCCCCCCCCATTAAATTCTCGCCACAAAATGTTTGAATTTATTTTGACTGGGCTTTATAATTCAATATGTATACAGAGCCACTATTTTTGGAGAGCATTTGTACATACACCTGTTTTAAAAAATGTATAGATTTTATTACACGGCAATTAACTCAGGAAAGTGTCCTCTTTAATGATGTTTCAAACTTTTCGTCAGACAGCCAGAGATACTCAGCCGAGGTAGGCCGCCCCTAGAATACTACTTGGGTATTCCCCTAAGGATTACTTGTGTTTTTTGAGACTGCATATTTTTTTTTACATCAATATTCACATTGTTGTCTACTCCAAAGTTATCACGACTGTGCAGGCAAGCTTTCGCGGTGCGATCCTGTGCACCTCTCCGTTCAGCTTTCGGGTCGCATGGGGGAGTTATCCGGCGCGGCGTCTGACGTTTCAGTCCACGTGTTCGGGGAGCTTCGTGTCCATTTCAGAAAGAAAAAAAACTCCCGCCCAGTACGTGGAGGGAAAGCCTCCATAGTCATTCTTCCTGGAACTGGTAACTCTGGTAGCAAGAAGTTGGCCGTCCTTGGAAAAGCGATTACCTATGAAATACCGTCGATAAACAAGGGAAGCAATGCCAAAAGAAAGGCCGGCAGGTGATTGCGAAAACAACTACCGTAGACCACAGAGTTACGGACCACAGTCGCGTACAATAATTCAACATGGGCATTGGAGGCGATTCGCCACAAAGCACCTGGGGCCATTTCCCGCAGGCTAATTTGGCCATAGACTAATCAGTTGTGATTCATCCACACGCAACCAAGAGAAACCTGCCGATATGCATTAAAACACTGCTTTGAAATAAATATTTTTAATTAAAAAAATTCCCATAGCCGTCAAATTAAGTTGAATGCGTATCATACAGCAGAGCAGTTCGGACAAGCTCATGTTGACTGAGATGCCCGGTTTGTGATCGTGGAGGGAAGCTCATCAGCACCGCCTGTTCCTCTGCCGTGGAGAAAACTCGGGCCAGCATTTTATAGATAGCACATCAGTGGGGAGCAGTTGCATCGTATTTCATCAGGAGCTGCTGCAAGATCGCAAAGGTGATTCATCTTCTTCTTCAAAATACTTTATGAATAAAGTGTTCCATTGCCCATGCGGAGCGAGTCCATGCCCAGAAGCGGCTCAACTCTCCTATGTTAAGACAAAGAAGACAAATGTGCCCATTATAGTCCTAATAGACTTTTGGGGCAAGTGCCGTTAGCGAGCACCTATTAACGCCGGCACGGCACACGAGGGGGTGGGTGGCCAGCACCACGCGCGACCGCCTTTGTCTCCCTAGTGGCGATGTTTACACACCGCACCAGGTACTCACTTGAGGCTGAGTCGACCTCGGGGAGGCCCTGGACTGGGTTTAGATTATCGTCGCCGGTGTTGGTGGCCGTGAGCGGGAATCGAATCCGTGTCGCCGAGTTAGTATCGCAGCGTGTTAACCAATACAAAGGCAAAGATCCCCCGTATAACCTTCACAAACCCCTTGGGGCAAGTGCTGTTAGCAAGCACCTTACGCTACCGCTCCCACACACCTGCCCCTACTGTAAATCTGTCGAAAAGAGCTTCACAGCTCAACGGATTCCTCCAATCTAAATAAAGATTCTGATTCGCTTGTGTGCGCCTTCTGTTTCGTCGGTTGTGTCACAACATTGACGGGACGTGATTGGTTATGATCGCAACGGATTGCTTGCACCTGTGCTGCACTGCAGTGGAAATGTAGGAGGCAATAACCGGTGTCTCACCCCATGGTGTAAGATGGCACAAGATATATGCCCGTGTTTATGGTCACTATACGAGACTGTGAATTTATAGCAGTGACGTGCGGTGAGGTCAATGGCTGGGGAGGCACTGGCTCGTGTCAGAGCCAGATTCACACATTGAGGGGGGGGGGGGCGTGGCCTCACTGAGGGGGCGTGGTCTCACTGAGGGAGACGTGTCTAACACGCCCCCTTCAGTGAGGCAGATGTGATAGCTGCCTCCC